TCTTTGTATTGTTTTCTGTGTTTCTATTTTGCTGATTTCAGCCCTCGATTTGATTATTTCCTGTCTTATACTCCTCCTGGATGAGTCTACTTCTTTTTTTTTTCTAGAGCTTTCAGGCGTGTTGTTAAGTCACTAATGTGAGCTTTCTCTGTTTTCTTTATGTGGGCACTTAGTGCTATGAACTTAGCACTGCTTTCATAGTGTCCCATGGGTTTGGATATATTGTGCCTTTATTTTTGTTGAATTCAAGGAAGACTTTAATTTCTTTATTTCTTCCTTGACCCAGGGATGGTTCAGTAGTTGACTGTTCAGTTTTCATGAGTTTTAGGCTTTCTGGGAGTAGTATTGTTGTTAAATTCTAACTTTACTCCATGGTGATCCAATAAGACACAGGGGGTTACTCCATTTTTTTGTATCTGTGGATGTTTGCTTTGTTACCAAGTAAGTGATTAATTTTAGAGAAGGTTCCATGAGGTGCTGAAAAGAAGGTATATTCTTTTGTGTTTGGGTGGAATGTTATACAGATATCTGTTAAGTCCATTTGATTCATTACATCTGTTAGTTCTCTAATTTCTCTATTAAGTTTCTGTCTGATTGACCTGTCCATTGGCAAGAAAGGAGTGTTGAAATCTCCTTCTATTAGTGTGTGGGGTTTGATGTGCAATATGAGTTTTAGTAATGTTTCTTTTACATATGTGGGTGCTCTTGTATTTGGGGCATAGATATTCAGGATTGAGACTGCATTTTGATGAATTGTTCCTGTTATGAGTATAAAGTGTCCTTCTCCATCTCTTCTGATTGATTTTAGTTTGAAATCAATTTTGTTAGATATTAGGATAGCCACACCTGCTTGTTTCTTAGGTCCATTTGATTGGAAAACATTTTCCCAACCCTTTACTCTGAGGTAGTGTCTGTCTTTGTGGTTGAGGTGTGTTTTTTGTAAAGAGCAGAAGCCTGGATCCTGTTTTCGTATCCATTCTCTTAACCTGTGTCTTTTCATAAGTGAATTGAGTCATTGATATTAAGCGATATTAATGACCACTGGTTGTTAACTCTGGTTATTTTTCAGTAATAGTGTTTGTGTGTTTCCTTTCTTTGGGTTATGCTGGTGGGGGGTTATCAGATGTCTGTGCTATTGTGGGTGTAGTTAGCTTCCTTGGGTTGAGGTTTTTCTTCTAGTACTTTCTGTAAGGCTGGGTTTGTGGATATGTATTGTTTAAATCTGTTTTTGTTATGGAATATCTTGTTTTCTTCATCGATGGTGAATGAAACCTTTGCAGGGTATAGTAGTCTGGGCTTGCATCCATGGTCCCTTAGTGTCTGCAGCACATCTGCCCAGGACCTTTTGGCTTTCATGGTTTCCATTGAGAAGTCAGGTGTAATTCTGATAGGTTTACCTTTATGTTACTTGACCTTTTTCCTTTGCAGCTCTTAATATTCTTTGTTCTGTATGTTTTGTGTTTTGATTATTATATGGTGAGGGGATTTTTTTTTGATCCAGTCTATTTGGTGTTCTGTAAGCTTCTTGTACCTTCATAGGGATATCCTTCTTTAGGTTGAGAAAATTTTCTTCTATAATTTTGTTGAATATATTTTCTGGGCCTTTGACCTGTATTTCTTCTCTTTCTTCTACCCCTATTATTCTTAAGTTTGATCTTTCCATGGTGTCCCAGATTTCCTGAATGTTTTGTGTTAAGAATTTGTTGGATTTAATGTTTTCTTTGACCAATGAGCCTATTTCTTCTATAGTATTTTCAGCACCTGAGATTCTTTCTTCTATCTCTTATATTCTGTTGGTTATACTTGTCTCTGTAGTTCCTGTTGGTTTATGCAGATTTTCCATATCCAGAATTCCTTTGGTTTGTGTTTTCTTTATTCCCTCTGTTTCAGTCTTCAAGTCTTGAACTGTTTCCTTCACCTGTTTGATTATTTTTTCTTGGTTTTCTTTGAGGGATTCATTAATTTCTTCCAATTTTTTGTTTGTCTTCTCTTCCATTTCTTTAAGGGAGTTTTTCATTTCCTCTTTAAAGGTCTCCATCATTTTTATAAAGTTTAAAGTCATTTTCTTCTACTTCTGAGTTAGAATGATCAAGTCTTCCTGTTGTGTGTCCGTTGGATTCTGGTGTTACCATGTTGTTTTTTAGGATGTTGGAGGATTTCTTGCATTGACGCCTACCCATCTCTTCCTTCAAATGAGGCCAGCAGTATCTTGGTGTCTTGGTCCAATCCTTGCTGTGGCTGTTTCTTAGGTCCCCTCAGTATGGAAACAAGCTGTGTTTCAGGGTTCCACAAGCTTGCAGGCTCTTAGGTCCCCTCAGTATTGGAATAGGCCGTGTTTCAGGGTTCCACAGAGCTCACAGGCAAATAGGCAGGTTTAGGGGTGGGTTGGGTTAGGGGCTAGCCCAGCCCCAGGAAAACTCGCTGGTTGGCTAAAATGGCTGAGGGAGTTGGGGAGGGACCCCTGGGTTTTGTTCTACTGGGGAGGTCCCAGAGAGTGGGGTGTCTGGTGGTCCGGCCCTCTAGCCACTGACTCACCTCTTAGGTTCCCTCAGTATCAGAGCAGGCTGTGTTTCAGGGTTCCACGGAGCTCAGAGAATAGGCCACACCTTGCTACTCTTACCTCAGTTTTTCTATCTGTTGGGGAAGACACTCAGGTAGCTCCTCCAGCTTTACTATTTCCATCTTTTTCCCACAGCACTGAAGTTGCCATCCACTCTGACAGCTCTCTGCTCTGGTTCTGGGTAGTCTGTGGATTTACCCCCTAAGGAAGTTTCTTCTTCCTCCCCACTTCTCCTTTCCCCTTTTCTTCATTCTTCCGTCTCTGCTCCCTTCCTCCCCCTGATTTACTAGAATTTGAGAAGAATGTAGAGAGAAATGAACACATTCTGCCCAAAGGTTTCTCTGGAAAGAAAATTTGTGTATTTATAGCCATTATTAGACATCACTATGCAGACGCTGGGTATCATAGATTTCCAAAGAGCCTCCACCACTTGCTACTCCCACCTCCTGATTTGCTGTATCTTCTTAAACAAATGCCCAACTGGGATGCCTCATTTCAAGGAACTTTTCAATACAACTGTCTCCAAAGCCTCATCATCCTCCCAGCGTCTCCTCAGACTGGAGCAGGCTGGCCAACAAGCTCCAATCACACCATGCTGGGGTTACAGGTGTGTGTAGTCACACTCAGATTTTTACTGTTATTGTTTTGTTTTTGAGTCAGGGTCTCACTGAGTAGCCCTGGCTGACCTGGAACTTCCTGTGTAGACCAGGCTGGCATTGAACTCCCAGAGATCAGCCTGCCTTTTTAAAGATAGGCATTAGCAGGCCTGGCCACACCCAGTTTTTTTACGTAGATTCTGCAGACCCAAACTTAGGTCCTCGTGCTGGCGTAGAAAGTGACCACACCCACTGAGCCATCTCCCCAGCCAGTGTTTGAAGAGTAAAGTTAATTTTACTTATCTCTTACTTTCTTTTCACATGGGAATATTTTGAGTACCATTTTACCAAATTAGTTCGGGTTTATTTTTCACATAAGAAACACAAATCAGTACTGGTGCCTTCCCTTTCTGTGGCTCCTTCAGGAAGACGGTCACGTGCAGGACAACTACTGGCATCTCTATGCCACAGACTAGCATCTTGTTAGCCTTCAGACAAAGCTCCTTTAAGAAACAGCAGCTAGCCAGGTCATGGTGGACCATGCTTTTAATTCCAGCACTTGGGAGGCAGAGGCGCGGATCTCTGTGAGTTCAAGGCCAGCCTGGTCTACAAGAGCTCGTTCCAGGACAGCTAGGGCTGTTACACACAAAAACCCTGTCTCAAAAAACAAAACAAAACAAAAAACTAACAAAAAAAATAAGTAAGAAAGAAAGAAAGAAAGAAAGAAAGAAAGAAAGAAAGAGAGAAAGGAAGGAAGAAAGAAAGAGCTAGTGGATGAGGCACTAGCTGGGAAGGCATTTGCTGTCCAAGTACAAGGACCTGAGTCTGAATCCTCACAAAACTACATAATCTGAATCTCATAAAACTACAAATCCTATATAAAACTGAATGTAGTAAAGTGTGTCTGTAATGAGAGGTGGGGACTGGCCCCTTAAAAGTTTGTGGGCCAGCTGGCCTGCACTATGCAACAGTGAACAAGAAAGATGAAGAATGGGAACTGGCGAGAAGTTGTCCTCCACCTTCCACACATGCACGTGGCATCGCACACCAGGAGTGGCACACACCTTTAATCCCAGAACTCTAAGGCAGAGGCAGACGGACCTCTGTAAGTTCAAGGCCAGACTGGTCTATATAGCAGCTCTAGGCCAGCCAGGGCTTCATAGTAAGTCCTTATGAAACAAATGAAACAAAATAAGAAATGCCAACTGGGCTGAGAATAGAGTTCATATCCTCATAGTTTATATAACGCTTGCCATGCAAGCATGAGGGTCTGAGTGCAGTCTCTAAAACCCCCACAAAAATTCCAGGCATTGTGGATGTGTCTGTCCTCAAATTCCTGGCTCTGGGAAGGTGGAGACGAGACAGATACATAGAGCAGACTGTCTAGTCAGTCTAGGCTAACTGGTGACCTCCCAGGTCCCAAACAGACCCATTTCTACTCCCCCAAAAGGTGGACAGTTCCTGAGGAACAACCAGAGGTTGTCTTCTGGCCTTCACACATACATGCATGCATATCAGCATAAACATGTATACCTGCTCACACATGAACATGTGCATACGTAACACTCATGTATACACACACACACACACACACACACACACACACACACACACTCACGTGGTGGGTGCCTGCTAGTAGGAGTTGGCAGCAGTAGGAGTTGAAGCTGCATTTGCTGAGCTGCCCAGCTAGGCTGGGGACTGTAAAGGCGACATGTCATTTGAAGTGAATCTGCCTCCCAGAAGAATACCAGCCCTCTGAGAGAAAACGAAACATTCATAATCTAGAGCCTTTCTGTAACCTGAACGTCAAGAAAAATTAATTTAATAATAACAACAGCCAAGACTTACATGGTGACAGTTTATATTTCTCCTCAAAGCTTTTCTTGTAGATTTTAATTACTCAGAACACATGCATTGCCCAAGTGTTAGGAAATAAGACAAAAGAGTATCTTTATTGGGCTTGGTTTTGATAATGGTTAAGCCCAGATGGTGTAGTGAACCAGATACATGTTACCTTTCCAGTCTGCTGATTCCCTGTTTACCTACAGCTCTGAGGCTCTGAGTCTGCCTGGGTCCCCTGGCAAGAAGGTCAGAAGTCATTGTCGCTCTCGTCCAGGGGCTCAGGCTTGCGGACCCGTCGCCTGGGCTTAGCTGGCGAGAGAGCAATGCTTTCGTCTTCCAGATCGTCGTCGTCCTCTTCGTCATCGTCCATGTCAATCTCACTGTCCTCCGAGTCCTCCTGGAGCAAAAGCGGGCAAATGCAGCTGTGGTGCTGGCTCCCCACTGTGTCATGTCCTTAGAGACCCCACTTTGCTCTCTCAGGGACAGTGCAGTAACCGGGGAAGGTTGTGGGAACACAGCACACTGCCAGCTGGACAGCTCCACTAGACGGGATAGAACCCGTAACTCAAACACCAGCCTTTACCAGGGCTGTCCAGCAGGAGGTGGCTTCCCATGGATGTCTTGGGAATACTCAGCACAGGCTGAGGAACCTAAGGGCTGAATGGCTCCTGCAGTGTAGAGACCCAGCAGACAGTAGACAGCAAGAAGGGCAGGAAAGGGAGGCCGACTCCAGGAGGAGATGGGAAGCAGCGCACATGTGGTAAGAAGGCAAGGTGAGGATGCCCTAGCTCCTTCACGCTCCGGATCCAGGGAGCACCAACTCCTCCACTCCATATATACCAAGATGGCTGGCCACCCAGTCTAGACTATTCCAAGTAGTACATACACGTTAGAATTATCTTCTTTGAAGAGCTACCACCTTCTCTAGCTGTCCTTCATTCCATTCTGCTTCTCTTCCAGAAGAAACCCCTGGGAAAGCCAGGCCTATGGTGGTACAAGCCTACGATGCCAGCACTCCAGAGGCTAAGGCAGGAGGATGACTATGAATTTGAGGCCAGTCTAAGCTACATAGAAAGACCTGTTTCACATGAAAAAAATAAAGAATGAACTCCTTGAACAAATTGCTATACTCAAGTGTCCCCAAGCGTTACATAAGCACAACAGGCTTTATCCCATAAGCCCAAACCTTATCAAGACGGAAAGGATGCCAATCCGGTGGGTTCCAGAGGTGGGAACCTCTGTCACCAACCCACCCTTCTTTCCTGAAGTCCACTTCCCCATTTTCTATGCCACTCTGCCCTCTGTCCTTAGCTCTCTGCAGAGTGCGTTCCAACTCCTTTGCCCGATCCTCTTTAATTCTCTGGCCTCTGAAGACAGAGGTAGCTCAGGACTGCAGGCCTCCTCTTTTCTCTTCCTGCTCCCCAAACCGAGCAATCACATCTTTATCATGACTTCCATCTAAATATGGTTGGCTCCCAAGTTCCACTTCTGGCCCAACCCTGTTTCTTAAATTCCAAACTTTTCCTAATCTGCCCTCTAAGCAGCTTCAAGTCACCTCTGTCTCAGGAAGTTAAAACCCCAGGCTTTCAGTTAGTTCCACCACTGAAGCATTCTGCATTTCTCTTCATTACCCTGGTGCAATCAACTAACAAAACAAGATGGGTCCAGTCTCAGAAACACCCAGACTCTGACTGCTTCTCAGTACTAACACCATTGTGGCCTTGGCTAGAACACCCTCCCCTCCAACATAGGCAGTTACACTTGGCACCTCAGTTTCTTCCTCCCTGGGCTGACAACTCCCCAACATGGCCTGTCTCCCAGGTCCTCATGGCATCCTGCATGGCTCTGTATCGCCCCCGCTGTCTCTCACCTCTTGCCCAGTGCCCTCCATCCTGCCACCACCTCACTGTAGGTGTCCACCCCTAGGCCCAGGGGCTCTGCCCACCTCAACATGGCTCATCCTTTCACTCATACAGGTCTGCTTCAATTTCTCAATAGAGGCCTTGCCTGGACGTGTGAAAAGATCCCTTGTCCCTGTCATTTGCCTCCCGAGACTACTTTATCTACTCCCTAATGCCCACGACTGTGGAATGTCTGCTGGACTGCTACTAGAACACACGATCCCAAAGGCAAGGACTGGTGTTCTCCCTGCTGCACCCAGGACCTGACACTGACAGAACCCAGCTATTCATGTTGAACAGACACATGAAGTCAAGCCCATGACAGAGGAGCTGTGTGAACAGTCTCCACGGAATTAGCAGAAGACACAAGCCACTGCAGACACATTCATTCTGAAGAACATGCAAGCAAATGAAACAGAGCAGACACCACTTTCCATGAAGCACTGATTCCTGTAGGACCTTATCATGAGCCTCCTCTGTTAAAAAGAAAGTTATTGTTGAGCGATTTCCTTGCCTCTCTATCGACTGGCCCTTGGGAATTCCAAGTACAAGTTTCTCTGTATCCTGCCCAGCAGGATGGGGGCCAGCTTGTTGCTGTGAATCTAGGCAACACCATGCTGTGGTACTTATTAGCCAAGCCTCATATGAGAGTGTATGTTCCTGTCTGTCCCTGTGCAGGCACCAGTGCCGTGCCCCAGATATAGGTCTGTACCTTACACTGGCCTGGGATTGGTGTCTCTCCAGTAACCTGTGCTACATGGGCCAAGCAACACTGCCAGGGACTGCAGCAGAGCAAGGGCTCAGGAGCCGGCAGGGCATGCTCAGCCTGCCATCCTGAGAACCCCGACATTGCTTTCCAGCTAAGTTCTCTACTCAGTTATCTGCTTGGTGGAGCTCAAGGCACCAGCAGCCAGGCCTTTCTGAGGCCCTGGTCCAAGGAGACACCTCTTCCCTGTTCCTGCTCCAGAGTTGTGGGATGGTGCTGAAGAAAGGCCGGTGCTGGGCCATGGCCCTGGCACCAGACTTCATTACTAGGCTATGGTTCAGGGCCTGACGACTGCCCTGTCTTTCTCATCTTTGGTCTCAGTGTTTGACCCTTCTGTGTGGTAACAGAAGAGGCTACTCTGTCTCTCTCACCATGGCATCCACTGAGAGGGCTTCTTGCCCGAGAGAGGAAGCATCGCCCTGCAGGAGAGGGGCTCTGCTGACCCTGAACAGGTCAGCACACACCAACAAACAGATGAGGCAAGAAATGAAAACCAACCTGCTTCCTGGAGCGGGGATTCTTGCATTTACCTAAGAGGGCTGGTGCTGCTTCCATCTTTGGAAAGCAAGAATGGAAAGAAGAGTGAGAAGGTGGAAAAAGGGCGAGCATTTGTGTGAAGTGAGCAACAAGCAATCACACTGTCACATTGAGGGATGTGTGGGGAAGGTCGTCTCTGACTGCTGGCAGACCTGAGCCAATCTACCAGGACAGCCCCAGGACCAAGAGGCACAGGAGTGGCAAGAAGGTATTGGGACTTACATCTTCATCAGAGTCTCCACCTTGCATTGTGCCCACGATGCGTTTGCTGGGCCTTCCTGAGAAAACAAAACATGAATTATGAGATTCTTGAAAAATAAGGCAGGCAATGACATTTAAGACTTGCTTTTCCTTGGAAAACTGGGGAAATACTAAAGTGTATACTAAAAAATGTACTTAAGTAAGCTCCAGCTAATTAGCATTACCAACAAATAATAATTTCCTGTAACTCCTACCCCTCTACTTTGTGAAAGAAACTCACTATAGAGATGGGGCTAGCCTTGAACTCTCGATCCTGCTGCAGCCTCTAGAGTGCAGCATCACAGGCTGTGCCGCCATGGCCAGCTCTGCAAATCTACCCCGACAGATAAAAAAAGGGCAATAAAATTCAGCGTGTGACAGTGTATATCTGTAATCTCAGCACTCAGGAGACTGAGGCAGGAGCATTACTGGGAATTCAGGGCTAGCTTGAGGTACACAGTGAGCTGTACTGTGTCTCAACAACAACAAGAACAAAAAGATCCTCATGGGCTGGCCTGACGGTTCAGCAGGTAAAGGTACTCGCCAGCAAGCATAATGGCCTGAGTTCAATTTGCAGAATGTACATGGCAGAAGAAAAAAACTGAGTCCCAAAAGTTTTCTTTGGATATGGACCCATGTGTGCACATGTCTGTGCACATACACAAATGAATTAATAAAAATTTACATTCAAAAATTATACATAAAAGCTGGGGTATGAATAAGTGGTAGAACATTTGTCCATGGATTTAATTAAGGCCATGGATTTAATCTCTAGCACCACAAAACAACCATGAACCAAGAATGCTTGTTTGTTTGAGACAGGATTTCTCTGTAGCTTTGGAGCCTGTCCTGGAACTAGCTCTGCAGACCAGGCTGGTCTCGAACTCACAGAGATCAGCCTATCTCCATCTCCTGAGTGCTGAGATCAAAGGCATGCACCACCACTTCCCAGCAATCAAGAGTATTTTTAAAATACATCCTCTGAGTGGCTGAGGATACTGAGGGCTCCATTATTAGTTTACACGCAGCAGAACTTCCACGGTATCGGTTGAAAAAAAAAGTACTTCTTCTATGAAGCAGTGCCTCCTGTGCTTGAATCTAGGTCTAAGTTTCCAAGAGAAACTTAGGGCCCTTGCCATAGTTTTTGGAACTGGACTACATGATTTTGCTCTGCAAGTTCAGAACTTAAGCAGGGTTTGGAAGAATCATTGCCTTTCTCAGATTAACAGTTGGCCACACACCTTTTTCTAGTATGGCTCCCCTCCATCAAGTGGGATACATACCATAAACCTCAGCTTGTGTCTGAGGCTGTGAAAAAGGTGAAAGGTCACAAAAGAACCCACAGCAACTAATTACCCAACGGGAATCACGCACAACAATGACAACCACTGGGCCCAGCATACATAGAACAGCTAACAACAAAAGATAACACAAAATGATGAAAAGGTGATTACACCTCTGAAATTTATTAGGTGTAAACAACTCTCTACAGTCCCAACACTTCAGAGGCTGAGGCAGGAGGATTGTGAGTGGGACTCCAGTCTGAGTTACATAATGAGACCCTGCCTCAAAAGACCAAAAAAAGTACCAACAGTAGTTGGGTGGTGGGTAAGAAATGTATTTAAAGGCCAATATAGGGCAATTGAGTAGCAATCGAAATTAGAGTTTACAGCTGGGCATGGTGGCACCTGCCATCCAAGCACTCAGGAGTCTTGTGGTATAAGGACTCTGAATTTGAGGCCATCCTGTGCATGACCTTGTACCAAAAACAAAAATTAAAGTCTATTTAAAAAAATAGAATATTTGACACAAGAATCCCATTTGAAAGATGTGCACTAAAGAAATATTCACATATATGCAGAAAAAAGTATATACAAGAAAAGGAGTAAAATTAAATATCTAACCCCAAAAAATTAAGGTTACAGTTATGCAATAGAATGTGATATTCATGGCCAGCTTAGCTACGTGAAATCAAGCAAAAGAACTGTTAGAGGCAATGACTACCAATGAGCAGTTTGAGGGAAGATCCAGAGGAACAAAATAAACTGAGGCTGCAGAAATGACTTAAGGGACCTGCACAGTACCCTGCGGATCGCGATGCTAAACTGCACTCACCCGACTTCGCCCTTGGTGTTCTGAGGAAACAGGAGTTACAGTACCTTGCATGAGCACTTCCATGGCTGTTCGAGGTTTCGACAGCCGTCTCTCCTCCAGCTCACTATCAGACTCATCGTCCTCTTGGATGTCTATGTCTGAGTCATCGTTACCTGGCAGGAACAGCAGAAGGCAGAGTGAAGGCACAGCTCTTTCACTACAGAGATCTCCTGTCTACTAAGGTGTCAGTGCAAAAGCAGCTGCCTTTCTTAGCCCCTTTTCATCTATTAGATCTTACGAGACCCTGGATTTCCTTAGGTACTTAGTGAGGTGTTAGCGCAGATCACAATATGCTGTATCTACTCAGAGCAATTTTTCAAAGCAAAAAGAATATGGACCAGATGCCTTAAAAGCATTGGCAGGCTGAATTTTTCACCAACTGAGCAGCTGGCTGTCAAGGTAGCTGGAAGCCGTTGGTTAACGGGGTAAAGCCCTCTGTCCTGTGCCAGGCTGTTACTAACTCAAGAGCCTCAGCCTTAGCAAAGATAAACAAGTGGGGTTGGATGAAAACGAACAAAGCAGGTGGGAGGTAAGCAGGGAGCCCAGCCTTGGGCAGCGGAGTGGGCTGTCCTGAGACAGACATTCTTCACTGGGAAAGTTTAGCATAAAGGCATACACTGGGTGGGGCTACGGCTCAGTGGTAGAGCATGCCTTATCTTCTGCAAAGCTCTGGGGCCAATCCATAACACCACACACAGAGAACTAATTAGACAACTGTTCTAAAGAAATTTTATTTGTTGGGGGGCATTCATGCATGTATTCTATAAAAGGCTATTTCAGTGCCATCACTTTTTGTTTTTTGTTTGTTTGTTTGTTTTTGTTTTTTTCAAGACAGGGTTTCCCTGTAGTTTTGGAGCCTGTCCTGGAACTCGCTCTGTAGACCAGGCTGGCCTCAAACTCACAGAGATCCTCCTGCCTCTGCCTCCCGAGTGCTGGGATTAAAGGCGTGCGCCACCACCACCTGGCCACTTTTTCTCTCTCTCCTCTTTCTGTGTATGTGTGTGTGTGTGTGTGGCAGGCTTGTAGAGACCAGAAGAGGATGTTGAGAGCCCTTGGAGTTGGAGTTAAAGGCAGTTGTGGGCTACCTGGTGTGGACACCGGAAAGTGGACTAGTATCTTCTGGGAGAGCAGCAAGTGTTCTTAATCACTGAGTTAACCTCTCCAGCCCTGAAATGACTCTATATACATGATAAAAATACTTGTTTAGTCTTTGTGCCTGCAGAAAGAACCAACAGAGGGAGACTAGAATGGGAAGAAAAAGCTCTCATTGCCACAGTGCCTTACTAAACCCAGGGAGTGAGGGGGGTTTGGGAAGGAGGGACTTGGAGGGGTTTGCAGTTGCTGCTCTGACACTGATTTAGAAGTCAGCTTGGAAATCCAGCAGTTGTTGGTCTTCCAAAAGGCTTAGCTTTGTGCCTGTATCAGATAACTGTATTCACCTGTTAAGGGATACAGTGATGGGAAGGGAACTTGGTTTCTTTAGTCAGAGAAAGAAGAGCTGTGTTCTTCAGCTCAGGAGGGAAAGCCTGGGAGCTGGTGACAGTGTCATAAAGAACAACCTTCAAGATCACCAACATCTTCTAAAAGTCTTTATACAGAAAATTAATCCATATTAACATAATTTAGTAACTATAACACAAAATCACCACTCATTCAGTTTCCCATGAAAATTAGGATACTAAATGCTTACTCCATGCAGTATATATCAATTCACTATCCCACTGACTTCTGCCTTGACTGGCCTAGAACTAAAGCAGTAGGAGATTCTTGGCTGGAAACACTTTTTAGGTTTTCTAAACCTGCTCTTAGAGGATTCCCAGAAGTCCCTGCTTGCTTTCTAGGGCTCTCTGAGAGCAGGTACAAAGGGAGCCAAACACAAACAGGGAAGGAGCTAGAAGACCAGGTGTATTGTCGACTACAGGAATGAAAACATCTCATAAAGAAAACAGAGAAAGAGCAAGAGAAGTGAGTCAGAAGAGCGCAACTATGTTGTGGTAGGAAGACCACACAACACAACTGTGGTGTAGCAGGAAAACCACACAACACAACACAATTGTGTTGTGGTAGGAAGACCACACAATACAAGTATGGTGTAGCAGTAACACCACACCACACAACACAACTGTGGTATAGCAGGAAGACATACAACACAACACATCTGTGGTGTAGCAGAAGACCACACCACACAAGACAACTGTGGTATAGCAGGAACGCACAACACGACTGTGGTGTAGTGGGAAGACCACACACTGCTATGGCTCTCAATGTTGAACTGATGCCCTGGTGTCACCCTGGTAAGCAGTGTGAGCTCGTCATGAAGAGTACCTTTCCCAGAATCTAGGCCTCGTGTTTAGTACATTTTTCTATAGCCGAGAGGCTTGCTGAGCACTTTTGGATGACTGTGTATAGGGTTTGCCAACAAGCAAGTGGCCCCTTTATTGATACTGTATGCAACAATTGATTTTTCAGCTTGCCCTAAAATGGGACCATTCATACTACTAGGAAAAATTTGTCTTTCATAATTATTGATTACATAGAATTCAAGTTCAAAGATGTTAGAGGTATCATAAGAAATGGATATTAGTATGTTGAAGCAAACTTTGTTATTATTATTGAAAAATAGACTCTAGTCTGGCAGTAGTAACACACACCTTTAATCCCAGCACTCAGGAGACAGAGGCAGGTGGATCTCTGAGTTTGAAACCAGCCTGGTCTACAGAGTGAGTTCCAGGACATCCAGAGCTATATGGAGAAACTCTGTCTTGAAAGACAAAACACCAAAAACCAAAAGAAAAAAAAAAGCAGATCAAAAACCCCAAAAAACAACGTAGAACAAAACAGATTCTTCTCTCATACAGTATATCCCAAGCACAGCACAGCTTTCCCTCCCTTCATTCCCCTAGCTCCCTCCACCTCCCCAACCCCATCCATCCCACCTTCATTCCCTCTTCAAAAAAGAGCAGGTCTCCAAGAGCCAAATAGGACACAACAAGACAGACACAAGACAAGGGGAAAGTCCTCATATCAAGGCTGGACAAGATAACGCAGGAGAAGAGAGCGACTCGAGAGCAGGCAAAAGAGTAAGAGATATACCCAGCTCCCACTGTTAGGAGTCTCACAAAACACCAAACTACAGTCATAACATATGACATATATGCAGGACCTGGTTCCGACCCATGCAAACCCCATGTCTGCCATTTCAGTCTTTGTGAGAAGCAAGCTTTTTGAGTAAACTCAAATGGTACCTAATATAAAAACTGTGAGAAAATTGCTTTCAGAATTTATTTTTGCATTTCTAGTCAACAATGACAGATTTGCTAGTGTTTAATAGGGCCAATTACATCTATTGTTCTTATCACAATAAAAAAATTGAGAGAAAAAATTAAAAAAATATATATTTTTAAATGTAACCCTACCAGAGAAATACAACTTATTACATACCTCCCACGCAACCTGCTGACCTGAGTTTAATTCTCAGGAAGGAGAAAGAACCAATCACAAAGCTGTCCTCTGACCTTAATGTGTGCTCCAGGGCATTCCCACAGCTGCAACTGCACACTTGGTATATGAGTGTGCATGCACACATCCCCCTCTCCCCCACACTGGATAAAAACCTTAAACACACAGTAACTTTCTCAAGGCTGAAAACACTAGTCAGAGCCAACAGCCTTACTTCCACTCTTGAGCAGCCGCTTTTCCTCCTCCTTTAGCTTATTCTGCATGAGACGGAGAGTATTTTCAGCTTCCTGTGGAGGACAAGGCCAAGATTCAGAATGGTGACCTTTAGTAGACAATCTGATTCAGAGATGGCTCTGTGGTTTAGGGCACTGGGTGCTCTTCCAGAAGACCCTGGATCAATTCCTTGCACTCATACAGTGGCTCACAACCATCTGTAATACCAATGCAGGGAATCTGATGTCTTCTTTTGGCCTCTGGGGGCATTGCATATGGTGCACAGACATATATGCAGGCAAAATACCAATACACAAAATAGACATTCATAAATCTTTAAAATAACTTTAAGAAGCTTACCTAGGCAACCTGTGAGGTCCCTACAGCCGTGCTCTTCCTCTGCCACCCACCTAGTGCCTGTGGGAACGGCCCCGCCAATCCCTCCTCTCACTACCCCTTAACTCTGAAAGAAACGAGTGGCACAGCAGAAACCACCACGTGCGCCTGCAGCGCAGTGGGCACAGGAAATACGTCTAACACAGATAGGCAAGCTCTCTGCTCAGAACAACAGAAAGCAGAACTGTCTCCATGTTTCTGCCTGTGCTGTATCACCACTCCAATCTAAAGGTGCTAATGGGCAGGTCAGGAAGGCAAGACAACAAGGGAATACTGGCCTTGGTTCCTGGTGTACAGCTAGAAGCAGGCAGAATGTCAGGTATGTTGTCAAACGGAGCCCTGATTAAGCTGGGCATGGTGACATGTATGTTATAGTCCCTGCACTTAGGAGGCTGGAGCAAGAGGCTGGTCTGGGCAACACAGCAACATACTGGCCTCCCCAGCCCCCAAATAGGCAAGTTTTGGATTCAAATATAGACTCTGCCTCAATATGTAAGGCAGAGAAGGGAAGATACCAGATGTAAATTTCTGGTCTCCATATGCACATGCACCCATACACATGTGAAAATGAACATACATATATACACAGAACACATAAACATGTAAGCAAAACACCAATGAAGCTAAACAACTGGCTTTTAAATTTTGTTTGGTATTCTAAGCATTAAAAAAACACCCTTGGATTAGGCATGGGAAAGATCAAAGCAAACATGGGCCCTTCCAGATCACTGCACAAGTCACAGTTGACCCATTTCCACTTCTCACTGCCCAAACCCTGATAGCACATCAAATACCTGACAACCAAGAACACATGCCGTGTAGCCAGCTAAACAGAAGAACTGGAGGAGTCTGTGGACCTGCAGGTTCATACCATATGTACAAACTGACATGGCTCAGAGCACGGACTAACACGCTAGAAGACTCACTTCAAACCTCTCCTGCTCCATCCGGTGATGATCCTCAAGTTGCTGCTCCAGGTAAGCCAAGTTCCGGAATTTCTCTAGATAAATGTCGTACTGCTTTTGCAGCTCCTCCTCAGTTTTTTCATACTCGTCCATGAAGGCCGGCCTAAAAGGAGCAACGGAATGAAAGAGAGCTAATATCTACTGTTGTCTGTTGTCTGTCGTTCCTCCCAGCTGCAGCAGAGACGGTCCTCCACTCTGACCACCTTCCTCTCTACCGACCAAACGAAGCTTTGCTTTTAACCATGTGTTCTTTATAACCCTCACCCTCAAAAAACTGAAAGTAGGAGAATTAAGTAAAAAATTACTTATAAACCATCAACTACATGCATTGGATGTAACACATATTCTCCCCCCCCCTTTTTTTTTAAAGATAGGGTCTCATGTAGCCTAGGCCATTCTTGAACTCATGAATTCCTGATCAGTTTCCTGAGTCCTGAGATTTCACATGTGAGTTACGATGTTAAGTCCCTTCCAGATTTCCCCAAATATAAAGATAGAAATGTGTGTGTGTGTGTGTGTGTGTGTGTGTGTGTATACTTTGGAGATGGGATTTTACTATATAGCTCCGACTGGTCTGGAACTCACAAAGATCTGTCTACCTCTGTCTTCCAAGTACTGGTATTAGAGGCATGTATCATCATGACAATCAGGAAAGTATAGTCTTAATAAAAATTAAAAAGTAAATCTTTTAGCAGTAGTTTTGTGGATTTCATATCAATGGATTACAGGGTCTAATAGGGCTAATATAGCCATGTGCCATACACATTTCTCAAAATCAGTTATTTATTTAGTTAGTTTTTCGAGGCAGGGTTTCTCTGTGTAGCTCTGGCTGTCCTGGAACTCACAGAGATCTGCCTGCCTCTGCCTCCCAAGTGCTATGATTAAAGGCGTGTGCCACCACTGCCTGGCTCAAAAATCAGTAAGTTAAATATATGCATGATCTTAGTTGGTATAACACTCTACTATGGATATGATAAAATGTAGTCTTCCAAATAGGTAAATAGGCCACTGCAAATCTTAGCTTTTTAAAAAAAACAAAATAAAGTTTAAAACCTGCAACATAAAGCCTAATTTCAACTGGTTGGCTAAATTTTCTTTTTTTTTTCCCCCTCTTAGTATTAATTTTCCCTTCTCTTTCTCTTTCTTTCCTTCCTGCTCCCCCACGGGCCGGGATTACAGGCATGTAAAATCATGTCTGGCTTTGTTACTGATCTTAACGGCAATACTCTGCTCTTACAAAACACGAGGGGGTAGCTATCTTAGCAGTTAGGGCACTGGCTGCTCTCCCAGTGATAAAGTTCAGTTCCCACCTCCCGCCTGGCAGCTCATGATCTGCAGCTTCAGCTCAATGGGCTCTGAAACTTTCTGCTGGATTCTGCACCAGGCATGCACACGGTACACAGGTATACATGCAGGCTAAATGTTCATACACATACATTTTTAAAAATGAGAATTAGCTGTAGAGGTATGTGCCTATAGTCCCATCTCCTCTGGCGGCTGAGGTGCTAAGACATCCTTTAGTCCAGAAGTTGGGAGACTGAAACAGTTTCTCCCCTCAAAATCTTTTATTGAAAAATCTCTTTTCACTGCATCTCTTTTCAGAAAAGCTGCTTCTCCTACAGATCCACCTGAGCTGAGTATGTTCTCTTCTCAGATTCAAGTTCCCCTGAGTACACCACAGCCTGGACTTGGGTTAAGCTCTTGGTACCAGTGTCCTAATAGGAATGTTGGATGTCAACAACCAAGTAAGGCACAGACTAATGGCTAGATGTTTGTCCTACACAGCTCCCCAAATTCCTTAGGCCACTTTTGATTTTGTCAGTTTAACTGGAATATCAGTTCTGGCTTCTGAGATGCTTATTCATGGTATCAAGAGAACACATGCCAGTCAGGTGGCTCACACCTTTAATTCCAGCACTCGGGAGGCAGAGGCAGGTGGATCTCTGTGAGTTCGAGGCCAGTCTGGTTTACAGAGTGAGATCCAGGGCAGCCAGGGCTGTTACACAGAGAAACCCTGTCTTGAACTCCCTCCCCCCAAAATAGAGAATACATGTCTAAAATATGGAACCATCCTTGTGCAGGGCCATGTTAATCCTATTGTTCCATTTAGTGTATGTGCTGCCCAAGCAAACCCTGAGCGGTTTCTAGAATGATACAAGGAGTCCCTAGGGAATGCAGTGTGGGAATGGGAATGGCCCCCATAGCTTCATGTATTTGGATACTTGGTCCCTAGTTGGTGAGACTGTTTGGGAAGGATTAGGAGGTGTGGCCTAGTTAGAGACGATGTGTCACTGGGGGCAAGCTCTGAGGTTTCAGAAGACTTATTCTATTCCCAGTGTGTTCTCTTCTCCTGCTTGTAGATCAAGATGTGAATTCTCAGCTGTTTCTGCTGCCATGACTTTGTTCCACCATGGACTCTAACCTCTGAAACCGTAAGCCCAGTTAATGCTTTCTTTCATAAGTTACCTCGGTCATGGTCACTTTTGTCACAGCAGTGGAAAAGTAAGACAGAGGATGAAATAGAGAGGGAAAGAGAGCATTAACCTTTTAAACTAGAACAAAGCAACTTATCTATTAAAAAGGACTTTCAGGGTGTGGTGGTACACACCTTTAGTCCCAGCACTTGGGAAGCAGAGGCTGTGATCAAGAGGCCAGCCTGGTCTAAAGAATGAGTTCCAAGACAGCCAGAGATACATAGTGAGACCCTGTTTTGAAAACACAAACAAACAAACATGATTTCAGGTTTAACTAGAATGAATTATGCTTTAAAGATGACTCTGTTAGAGAGTCCAAGGACTCTCGTGGCAGTGATTTCAGCAGCAGAAAGAGCAAGTCCCTGACATGAACAGGAGGGCTCTTGGTGCCTACTGTTTGCCAATGCTCACTCCCAAGACTATGAAAAGAAAAGCAAAAAACACTGTTACACTTCTCTATTCCCTGGACCTGTTTTTCCACTAAGTCAGTCATAAGGAAGATAAACTGTTGACAGGTGAGGGATCATCAAAGTGAAAGTCTAAAATCTATTCAAACCAAAAGATGGATGTATGCTCTGTTTCAATGTAATTTATGACGAGATTTTAGAAGGCCAAGCCTGGTACAACTCCCACCATCTGGGTTTACTTTGTCTTATGTTCCAAGACAGCACAAAAACTTTCAAGGGGGCTCCAGAGTTCAGCCACGCTGCAGACATTCGGAAGGCAGCACAGAGAGTGAGCAAGTGTAGGGCAGGCAGCGAAGAGACTGTGACTCTCTGTGCATGCGGCTGCTCTCTGGGGCTCTCAGGCTTATTCTCACTTTCACAGACGCCCGCCACTCACGCACTCTACCTGACACTCTGCAGGGTCTTGAGTCGCTTCTGATTTCTTTCCAGTTCTAATTTTCTCTTCTCAATTTTGGCTTCTAAGTTAGCTTCATCAGAGGCCACGTTATTGAGCAGGTCTTTAGTCTTCTGAACCTGTGCCTACATTGAATAGGAAATTTAGTGAGATAAAGTGCCCGGGAGGACTGTCATCTGACCCTGGGCACAGGACTCCTTAATATGTTGGGCAGAGCAACATCACACAAACCATACACAAAAGCAAACCAACAAAACACTTCCCCTCCCTGACTGCAACTTATCTAACAATTTCCAGAGTCAGGAGTGAAAGGAGGATGACCCAGAGGGGAAAAAATTACAATTCTTTTCATAAACAGAGGGTGTTTCTGTCCATGAAAGCAAACAAAAGTGGAAAAAAAGAATGTCCTAATAAAGACAAGAGGCCTAGGATCTGTGTCCAACCTGCTCGATTAGGACTGGGCACTGACCAGTTTGTACTACCAGCCTGCCTTCACTTGGGCAGCTCCCTGGTTACAAACTACCAACCTAGGGAACAGACACACCACAAACACACACATACTGACACACAGAGACACACTCAGACACAGACACAAACACACACAGAGACAGACACACAGACAGAGACACATACACACACAGATAGACGCACAGATATACAGACAGACACACACACAGACACATAGATACACAGATATACAGACAGACAGATACAGACAAGACACACACACACATAGAGACACACAGATACAGACAGACACAGACACACACGTACACAGACAGACACACAGATACAGAGACACATACACAGAGGGTTGGTTCAGGAGGGGACCAAAAACAAAACCCTCATGAACCAGCCTCAGCTCTGACCCACTGTCTGCTTTGATGGACAAAGACGATTCCTTTTCTCTCTACGGTAAAGCAGCTTCACTAAAAACTAAAACTAAACGGAGAAACCGCTTTACTGGTGAAGTCAGTGCAAACGTGGCTCACACAGCAGCAACTAGACATTCTGGTGAGGCGGAGCTCTGAGAGAGGGTCCAGGAGCAATGGGACAGAAGCTCTGGGCTGCTGGCACCACAGGGGTCAAAGACCCTGGCTAGTCCACAGACAGTCCTGTCTTCCCAAGAGCAAGCTCGGCTGAAGTGGACATGCTGAGAACAAAGGTGCTGGCCTCTTATTTACACTGTGAGAAGCTGGCTGTTGGGAGCCTCGTGGTTCAGAGCACTGAGTCCACAGGAAGCAGGAGCACAACCTGGGTGTGGACAAACCTCCTCCCCATGTTCTAGCTGTCCAACCCTGCATGAAGTTCTTGATGGCGAGGTGGGTTCCATTCTGGTACTCTGCATGTGTGTTAATATGCCATAAAGGTTTCCTGGCTGCTTGCATGCAGGTCTCTGCAAACCATGGGATCCAAGATTCTCAGAGACAGGCAATCTTTTGAAACTTCGATTATTTTTTTAATATTTATTTATTTATTATGTATACAATATTCTGTCTGTGTGTGTGTCTCCAGGCCAGAAGAGGGCACCAGACTTCATTACAGATGGTTGTGAGCCACCATGTGGTTGCTGGGAATTGAACTCAGAACCTTTGGAAGAGCAGACAATGCTCTTAACCGCTGAGCCATCTCTCCAGCCCCTGAAACTTCAATTATTGCCAGTGAATTTATGACTTCATTGGTTGGTATAAGTAAACTAATCATTTCTATGGAAATTTTGTGTGCCTAGGGCTCAGTCTCAGAACGCTGACACACACTAACAAGCATGCTATCACTGAGCTGCATGCCCAGTATAGCCCACTATCTCTCAGATTCTTCCCCTAACAACCACTAAAGAGCCAGGCACAATGGTCCCTGCATTTAATCGTAGCCCTCAGAAGGCAAGGGCTGGCAGATCTCTGAGTTTGAGACTTAGATTGTTCTACATAGTAAGTTCCAGGCCATTCAGAGCTACATAGTGAAACCCTATCCTAAAAGAAACAAAACAAACAACCAAGTGGCACATAAAAATACATAAAACACATATAAAAATCTTTAAAAAGCAAAAAAAAAAAACCCCATTTATTAAAAATGCATTAAAGATTCTAATACAAATGTGAATTAATTCCAACAGGAAGGTGACTCCTTCGTCAACAAGATTAAAGGAAAAATTATGCACATTATATATGTGTATGTTTATGAACATGTGAGTGCAGCCTACAGAAGTCAGAACAGAGAGCATTGGATTCCCTGGAGTTGTGAGCTGCCTTGTAAGTATTGGGAACTGAACTTGGGTCTCTGGAAGCACAGTATGTGTTCTTAACTGCTGAGTCACCTTTCCAGTACCCTTAATCAACAACCTTGCTGATAATGATGACTCTCTGATTCAAAGTCATATTATAGCTTAGGGATTATCTGACCTTAAAGTCTTTAATCTAGTCCTCAGGTAAGAAAGATCAATGTATAAACATTTCCAGTCTTCTGAGATAACTGGCTTCTGTACCACAATCCTAAGTACTTTGGCTTTTAGAATTACCAGGCATCAGGGGCAAATACCTTCTGACATTCAAGGTCCTCTAAAGAGCAGACAGTGCCCCTTCTACAGGACCAGTTTTCTTTATTTTTTTTTTTTAAGACAGGGTATCTCTGTAGCTTTGGTGCCTGTCCTGGAACTAGCTCTGTAGACCAGGCTGGCCTCGAACTCACAGAGATCTGCCTGCCTCTGCCTCCCGAGTGCTGGGATTAAAGGTGTGCACCACCACTGCCTGGCTTTAGAGAACTAGCTTTTATAATTCAGTGCTGATAGCATGTCTGGCCATGTTCATGTGATTCAGTTAGAATATTGGCATGCATAAAATATTGTTATTTACAGGTTTTTAAGTTTAGAAATAATCATACATTTCAAGAAAAGATGGACTATGATATAATACAAAGCATTTTCCTCTGATCTAGGTGAGGAAACTGCCAGTCACTGATGCCCAATCACCTTCAATCCCTTTGTATTTCCTATTAAGTACATGCAAACCAGGCATGAGCACAGCACGCGACCATTGTCTCATCTCAGGCTCCTTCCTGTCTCGCTGCTTGCACTAGGGAAGTCATCCACAGCAGACAGGAACCACTATGGCAATCTGCTGCCACACTTCTGTGCTGTTCTAGTCTCGAATGCTCTTCAGTTTTCCCTGGATTTCACAATGTTCTTTTTTGGAAAGCACCAGCCAACTAATTAATAGCATGATTCCCAGTGTGGCTTTGTCTGACTGATTCAGATTATGCATCTTTGGCAGGAATACCACAACACAGAAGAGACTTCATCCCATGAGGTGTCATAATTACAAACGATTTACTATGACGCTTCCCTTCCTCACTTGACTGAGGAGCGACGCTAGGATTCTACATAAGAAATGGCTCTTTTTCTCTCTGTAATAATAAGTATTGCAAAGTCAGGTGTGGTAGCATATGCCTTTAATTTGAGCACTCAGGAGGCAGAGCAGGTGGATCTCTGAGTTTGACATCAGCCTGGTCTACAGAGCAGGTTCTAGGACAGCCAGGGCTACACAGAGAAAGTGTCTTGAAAAACCAAAAAAAAAAAAAAAAAGTATGGTACTGGTAGTTTTCTTGAAGCACTTTTTAATTTGAGAATTGATTGTTTCCTATTTCACTGATCTATACTACATAATAAACTACTGTAATTCATTTATGTTGATGTGTAAACAGTCCCTGGCATGGTCAGAAGAACCTTATCAAGTTGGCATCATGTCTCTTCTACAGACTCCTGGTAACCTTTGAATGCCCCTGTTCCTCCTGGCACAGTAAGAGGTTGTGTTTCTCCCAATCGGCTCTAAAATGAGTCATTTTTCCCGGGTTCCCTGGCTCCCGCTAGTGGAGAGCAGCATTTTACAGTCAAGATCCAGGGGCTAGGTACACTCGGAGCTTAGACAGTGAGAGGGCGGATATGTGCATACGCGGGTAAAGGATGTGTCTATAGTCGTATGCGTCTCTAACAAAACTGACAGTGGGCGTGGGCGAGCGCGAGAGAATGAGGACTGCAATGTAGCTTAGAGGTAACGTACTCGCCTAGCATGCACAAGACCCTCCTCTGCACAGAGACAAAAGGAAAGCCCAGAACTTGTTTAAATGCCCAGCAGCAAGGAACTGGATAAATAAAATCGGATAATATTTACCAAAATATTGAAGTAAGAACTGTCTAATTGCTTTAAAACTGGTGAACTGTTAACAACTCGAGAAACTGCTGGAGAAGTAGTAGCTAAAATATAGGAATCCTAACTGTCCTCCAACTTCCCCTTGAAATATCTCGTTTTTAGGCCCCTTACTCTTCTGAGCCCCACATGTAAAAACAACAAATACTAGCAGCGTAATCTTACCAAAATATCTTTTATTGCGATTCTCATCACTTTCTCAGTCTCGTTTATCTCTAGAGGTCTAGCAATGGCTTCTGTTCTCAGTTCCTAGGAGAGATAAAACAACTTACACATTTTGCAACAAGGAGTTCAGTTTTTAGTTTCTATTAGCTGCCATTTTTTTTTCTTGAGAGCCTTGCTGTTTTCTAAGATGTGCTTGAACGTGGATCTCCCCATCCTCAGACTCCCAAACTGCTGGGATTACAGATGTTCACCTTCATGCCCATTGATGCCCCCCAAAAGTACGGGATACACATGTCACACTAATTCTCTAACATTTGACATAGTGGTAGAGACTATGGCTCACCACGTACAAGGCTTAGAATTCAATCTCTGACATCCCAAGAAAATTAAAAGCAAAATTTTACACTAGTGCACATCTCTGTAGAAGACATCTCTCACCATCACTTTCTCTAAATGTCCTCTGAGGCCTACCTTGATCCTCCAGACTCAGTCTTCATTGTCAGCTCAAGACCCTGCATGCCCTTAATGCCAATGGCAAACATGAAATTACTACCCATTACCTTCATTCCTGAATTTGCTCCTGTTCAGATGACCCACCCTGTGAGAACTAAGCATAAGATCGCTGCTGTCTGTGGACCACCAGCCCATATAACTAAGCTCCCGCTCTGCTGGTCCCTAGGGTGGAAACAGCGAGAGAGCAATGGAGGCTGACGTACTTGAAAGAGTAAGGAAATGAAACACGAGTACTTTTTTCCTTCTTAACCCAGCGGTTCCCAAACTACTGTTTGTCAAAAGCTGATGCTGCCATGTGATAGTAAACAGCCTGGACGTGAGGTGTGTCCAGTGCTCACCCAGGTTTGGGAACCGTGCTTACAGCTGCCTTCAGTGGAGCAGATGGTGCACATTATAAGACTGAACTGGACAGCACATTAAGTTGACAGCAACATCTTCTTCCAACTACCTGGAAGTGCTACTCCCATCAATGGCCACAACCTTTTGTTATAACCATCTGGGAAACATTTGAAACTCCTAATGCCCGGGTCATATTCCACAGTAGTGACACCAGCAAAAACGTCAGCTTGATAAAGATCACTGGGTAAGGCTGGGGACAGCGGTTCTGGGAGTCAGGGAGTGACAGGTACAGCACTGAGAACAATACAGAGAAGAGGCACAAGGGAAAGTCACAGTTTCACACCATATATTCCTAATCCTGAACTAGGAGCTGAAGATATTAACAATCACAGTATAGAGAAGGGAAGCAGGCACAAAGTCCCACCCCAACCAAGGACTTCTTTGCAATCGATAGCTCCTAGGCGGAGCGACACTGTGTGTCAGCCACACTCCAGGGCAGGCCTCATGCTCATGAGCAGTTGGCCAACACAAAATGGACTCCATGCTTTTTGTTTTGTTTTGGTTGTCTTTTGTTTTTTAGAGAGAAAAGAACATAAAGTTGGGTATATAAGGGAGGGGAAATCTGGGAGAAGTTGGAGGAGGAGAAAAACACGATTAAAACATATGGTATGAAAAAATATTTTTAATTAAAAAAAGATTAAAACCAGTTGGCAATTCCATGATAATCAGGAAAGTGTTCATATCCTATACTAACTTCCCATACATTAACCCAGTCAATCAAATACTGTTGAGTAAAAGAAGAACTGCAGGGCAGGAAGCAAGAGAAAACCTTTATTCCTTAACTGAACACTACTCACCCTCAGCTCAACCTCTTTGCCCAGCAAGTCATACAGAGATGCTCCTTTGGCAGTGATTTCAGAAGCAAGCTGCCTGGCTGCTTTGAGATCTGCAATCTGGAAGGAAAATTGCAAATACAGAACCCGCATTTTCAACAGGCACTCAGCTGCCACTCTGTGAACCCCAACCACTTCCTTCAGACAGGTATATAACTACAGAGCACGTGTTTCCTCAGGCTTGTTTATTGCTGTAGAACACAGCTCCTAGGACACCAACTTAGGACACACTAAGTTCAAATGGGACCTACTTCAGGACACCTGGTCTCTCAGAAAGCCAAATGTGAAGTCAAACTGAATTCACAAGTAGGAGGTCCAAGCAATAGAAAGCAGACAAGCTTCCCCTATTTGTATTGAGTCCCTAATAGGATGACCAGAGGCAACCTGAGATATAGGAAGATAAGGCCTACAAGGCCAAGAGGTGAGCCAACCTGGGAGTCTGCCCAAGGGCTTAGCAACAGTAGCTGTCAGAGGTCTTGATGGTGTCTAGCCAATGAGGGATGACCAAGCCCTGTCAACTAAGGCAGCGTGGGTGCTGGGAGGAGGCTGAAGAAGGCCCTCCCCATTGCTGAATAAACCAGTCTGCTTGGCGACTTGCCTGACTCCCAGAGTCTATGCTGTTGACCCCACACCTTCTCAACCTCTCCCGCAAGGAAGCTGTTCAGACTCAACTACTTTGAGAGATATTCCTTCCCCTGCAGAACCCAGGGTCAAGGCCTTCGCCTTTCCTCCAAAGAGCTGTGATGATGCCAGGGGAGACCAACTCTGCTAAGTACTTAGTCTCCTGGCCGCCCTGGGGGACTGTTGGCAGGAAGGTGACCGCCAACGACTCTGATGACGACTCAGAGTTCAGGTGTGCATGTCCCCTTCTTACTTCACTATGTTACATTCCCAAGGAGCCGAGACACCAACAGGAATCCTTGCGCTCTCTCCTTTCCATGAACAAGTAACCCTTACCATCTCTCCTGACCTTTAACCTGCCAGCAACAGCTAGCTCGCCTTTGTCGCTCTCGGCAGACTATTTTCTTCCTTTCCTCTGGTCCTACCTGCACCAACACCCTCCAGCTTTACCCGCTTTTCCTGCCTGCCTGGCAGCAAGTACCCACATTTTCCTCTAAGATTTTCCTGACTGTTTCCACTTCTCGACAACAGTCCAGTCTCTGGCATCTCTGTTCTGACAGACACTTCTAACCCTGCAGTTCTAATCCCCTGCATGTTGGTGACTTCTAACGCCCAGTTTCAGCATCACATACAACTGTACTCTAGCGAGGCATCTTTTCTGGGATATCCGAAGGGACTGAGAGCTTAACATGCCCCCAAAAAAAACTCAGAACAAAAATTTTACTAGCCACACTGGCTATTTTCATCTTTAAATTACTTAAAAGTTACATAATATTAGAGCCCATTTCCTTGATTATTAGCTACTTTGGCCAGTGGCTTCTGTGCAGCCCTTGGCACATCAGCACATCATGTCTGGAAACACGGTTTGAGGATCTTCTTCATGTTGTCTCATCTACCTCAATTCATACCCAAAACCTGTAATAACAATCTATCATTAAAATATGTCTGGGCTAGCCGGGTGGTGGTGGCGCACGCCTTTAATCCCAGCACTTGGGAGGCAGAGGCAGGTGGATCTCTGTGAGTTCGAGCCCAGCCTGGTCTACAAGAGCAAGTTCCAGGACAGGAACCAAAAGCTACGGAGAAACCCTGTCTCGAAAATCAAAAAAAAAAAAAAAAAAAAAAAAAAAATGTCTGGGCTGGTGAGATGGCTCAGCTGGTAAAATCTACTTGCCACCAAGCCTGATGACAAGGACCTACATGGTGGAAGGAGAGAACCAAGTCCCAGGTTAACCGCTAACCTTCCTGTCCACTGTGATGCTTCACACATAAATTAGCTTTTACAATATCTGAACCTTGACTGTGAGCTCTGGCTCCTAGTACGTGTCTGTCAGGTGCAGGCATGGCAACCACAATGTTTCCTCTGGCAGGCCTCAGAGAGCTGTCCTGGCACCAGATTAATGTGTGTTCTTAGCTGGGCCTTTTCCATTCCTCAGCTTCCCAGCTGAGCCTTGTGCTGGGAACCTCTTTGGTTGCTTCTGCGAAGACCTACTGATGGCAGCAGAAAGCCTGAAGATACTTTTCCCACCCTAACATATGGCCTCGTAGTTTTCTACTTTTCTTTCTTTCAAGACAGGGTTTCCTCTGTGTAGCTGTCCTCAAACTCACTCTGTAGACCAGGCTGGCCTTAAGCTCAGAGATCCACCTGCCTCTGCCTTCTGAGTGCTGGGATTGAAGGTGTGCACCACTACTACCCGGCTTAGTTTTCCATTCTTGACCCTTCTCCTCATCTCAGGTTTGTGGAATTTCCAGAATCTTCTGTTGGGGCGTCTGGTCCTAGATGGATGGGCACCACTCCATGGGAAGAGATGAAATGACAACTGCTGTTTCCTCTAGTCTGGAGTCCTGATATACCACCGTGGGAAGTGAATAACAGCTTAGCTTTCTTTGGTTTGTTGCTTCCATAAGCTGTTCAGAGACCTGGCAGCTCAGCCCTGAGAGTGAGTTCTACCACCGACATCCCCAGCCCTTACCTTCTTTGAGATGGGGACTTTCCAATCCCAAGACTGGCCTAAAACTCTTGGGCTCAAAGGGCCCTTCAGTCTCAGCCTCCCAATCAGCTGAGAAGAAGTCTAAGACCTATACATCTCTGCTGCAAACCCCATTTTCCACCTCAGAGTAAAGCCAAAGG